GGGGGGCCCCCCCCCCCCCCCCCCAAGGGACAGGAGAACGGGGAGAGAAAAAACTGCACACTGAGGAAACTTCTTCATAAGTTGTACTTTCACCAAATATTTTTAGAATGACGAAATCAAGTTGAAACGCGTTGCACACATTCCTTGCATGAGGGAGAAGAGAAATTATGTACAAAATTTTTATTGTAAAGCCTGAAGGGAATAGACCACTAGGAAGACCCTGACATAGATGGGAAGGTACTATTAAAACGGATGTTATGTAAATAGAGTGGCCGGGTGTAGATTGAATTCATCTGGCTTAGCACAGGGACCATGGCGGGCTCTTATGAATACAGTAGAGGGCAAGGGGATTTCTAGATCATCTCCAAAAAGTGCTTTCTGCTACACAAATTTTATCATCATCCAATGGGTTTGGTGGGGAGGGGGGTTGTTCCTGGGAAAAAGCGGTCAGTGTACGAAGCTGGTTAAGAATGCATGCAGCTTTACCACCTGGTACGATGCTTAAACAGAGAGTGAACAAGTACTAACAGGAAGTATTATGGGCCTTGCCATTAACAGTGAAAACATTTCCTGTATATTGAGAAAAGTGATGAGTGTTATTCTCACAGCAAATTATCAACGATGCAATGAGATAGAACAAATGGAAACACGTGAATCACATATGCAATCTATTCAAGTTTATAAAAAAAAAAAGGAAACTCTACTTAATCCATAACTGAATTCTGTCTGGTTAAGCATGAAAGACAGGAATAACAATTTTAAATTATATTTATAGGAATTTTAATTTTAGACACACTTCTGACAGAGATCGAAGTGTCATGAAAAGAAAGTGACATTATTTGTCATTTCTTCGTAGCCCAGAAACGAGCTGCTGCCTATCCTGCAGATGATCCGAGTTCGGCAGGTGACGTTAACGCCATTTACAACGCTATTCCCCCCAAACTTGCCACTAATCCAATGAGCCCATACCTGTCATTGAAACCATTCCTTCCAGTAAAACCAGCGATGGTAGCTCCATTTGTGGATCCAAACATCTTCATTGGAAAGAAAGCTGAACTTCTAAACAATCTTTTTGGCTCTGGGGTTGCTCCTGCTCCAGCAGGTATGCCATCTTTCATCCCCCCCTGGATATCAGGAGGAGTCATATCACCTCCTGGTTTCTTTGCCGAGAAGAAGTCACTTTTGGGTACCACACTGGATACTGATACAGCATCCTCTTCTCTAGATTCCAAGAGGGCCTTATCAGAGCCTGAACCCGAACAAGAAGCAACTGTCTCGGCTCAGCCTCGTCTTGTAGTTGGACCACCCTCAATTTGGGGACCTCCTGCTGCTGTAGTTCCTCCTGTGAAGCCAACGATCGTGCCACCAGAATACTGGAGCCCATATGCAGATGGTTCATCAGCAGGTGGACCAGTGGCTCCAGTTGTAGACCCATCTCTTTTCCTGGATAAGAAGACAAAATTCCTCAATGACTTGTTTAGTAGCCTTAGTAGCACATCTGACGTGGCCACTCGAGCTGTAGCTCCTGATGTCTCTGCAACTGATTCCTCAACGGATATTCCCTCAAGTTTCTGGCTTCAGTTCATCCCTGCTTTTGCCACTCCTCCACCAGCACCCACTGTGAAACCCACTATTGTCCCACCCGGGTTCTGGGTACCTACAACTGTTACAAAACCAGTTGGCCTCTTTGGCCCTTCAATTCCTGTCGTGGATCCAGCACAATTTGTTGATAAGAAGACAGCCTTCCTCAACACGCTTTTCAGCACCCTCAACATTACGGTCACTCCTGCTCCAGTAACAACTCCACAGCCAACCCTTGACCCTATCACAGAGTATCAACAGAAGGTAGCGGACTTCCTGGATAAGCTCTTTACTGCTGTCATCAACAATACAAGTGATGAAGCTACAGCAGCCAAGCGGACACTGGCGGTTGCTAATAAGACAGCAACTGAAGACCTTAAAAACTTTCTTGGAGATGTAAATGGAGTATATGACAGTACTACAAACTTGGAGGATAAATCTGACGTGACCACTCGAGCTGTAGCTCCTGATGACTCTGCAACTGATTCCTCAACGGGTATTCCCTCAAGTTTCTGGCTTCAGTTCATCCCTGCTTTTGCCACTCCTCCACCAGCACCCACTGTGAAACCCACTATTGTCCCACCCGGGTTCTGGGTACCTACAACTGTTACAAAACCAGTTGGCCTCTTTGGCCCTTCAATTCCTGTCGTGGATCCAGCACAATTTGTTGATAAGAAGACAGCCTTCCTCAACACGCTTTTCAGCACCCTCAACATTACGGTCACTCCTGCTCCAGTAACAACTCCACAGCCAACCCTTGACCCTATCACAGAGTATCAACAGAAGGTAGCTGACTTCTTGGACAAGTTCTTTACTGCTATCATCAACAACACAAGTGATGAAGCTACAGCAGCCAAGCGGACACTGGCGGTTGCTGATAAGACAGCAACTGAAGACCTTAAAAACTTTCTTGGAGATGTAAATGGAGTATACGACAGTACTACAAACTTGGAGGATAAAACTGATACTCGAGCAACAGATGAAAGTGGATCTTTTACACGAAGGAGCACTGATGGAGATAATGACACTTCATCTGGTGCTGCTCAACAGCTTCCAGTAGATGCACTTCTCAGTGCCAAGGACAAGGTTATAAACACCATCATTTCAGAGATGGGTGGAATAAAGAACAACATTCTGGACACTTTGGCTGAACTCCTGGCAAAGCAGAAGGAAGCAGCTGCAACATCTGCACCCACAAAGAAGCCTGGTCCTCCATTCGGACCTGGTGGGCCATTTGGTGTTGGAGGACCATTTGCACCATGGGCTAAAGTTGCTGCTACAACTACTACACCAAAACCAACTCCAGATCCTGAACCATTCCAAAAGAAAGTTGAATTTCTAGGTCAAGTGTTTGACACACTTACACAGCTGGAGAAGGATGTTACAGAGGCACTGAATGAGGCCGTTAGTGAAGCGATTGCTGCAGCTGTTGCCACGACAGCTACTATTCCCACTACACCAGAAATTAAAACCACGGCTGCAACGTCACAAACCAAAAATGGAACAACCCTCATTGACCTCATCAGAAGTAAACTTATTGAACTTTCTAATTCTTCCACACCCAGTCAAACTAGTGGACAAGCCACTCTGACCCAGCAAGTTCCAAAATATGTTCGGGCTATCAAACCAACGCTACCTTATCCTGCACCTACAGTAGTTGACCCATCCTTCTGGATACCTGACACCGCTGCTGGAGCTCCACTTGGTCCTGATTACTACATAGGAAAGACACAGTCATTCCTGAGCAAGCTGTTTGCAAGCAAGGAAGCAACAGCTGGAGATGATGATGAGACAGCTACAGACAACAAGGAAAGAAGCATCAAGATGGCAGTACATCAGGGGTACCAGAGCCTGCCCCCAGGCTCAGAGGAGTTCCTGCAAGCTGGAGGTGGCAGCACACCCCAGAAACATGAAGGAGGAGGCCTCAAGCTTCAGGTAAGAACCTGACAGTATTTTTGTGTATTAAGCACTGCAGTGCTACTTAACCTCACAGAGTAGAATCCTTCTTGAGAACTTTATAGTCACTTGGCTCATCAAGATCCTGCCTTTTATAAATTATTTTTAGTAGACAGTGAAACAATATATTGGCTGCATGAAATCTGTACTTAGCTTTCAGTTTTATGATGATAACTAATAAACCACCAGAGCTAGACACCAGAAATTTTGTATGGAGATATATCACAAACATACCTACAAATTCTGTAAGAAATATTGTTTTTGTTTGCATTACTTCAATATGAGATTAATGTCACACAATCTGTAACCTTTCAGTTGAATGGGGTTCATCTGAGATAATAAACGTTATGTTGATATGTTTCTCTAACATTAATTGGGTAAGAGAAATCTCGATAGACAAAGTATGTATTGAATAGTCTGTAATAAGTAATCAAAAAGTCAAGACCCACTACTAAAACCATGCTATCCTCTCAACAATCAATTTCTGATAAATAAACACAAGAGTACAGAGAACAAAATTAAAATAATTAATGTTTAAAATTAGCTTTGTACGGTTTTAGAAACAGTGAAGTAGAAATTATGCAATTGGACTAAAAATGCTCCAATATGTTTGTTGTTGTACTTTGTTTTGTGGGTAATATGTTAATTCCTTCATCAGAGCTAGTCATAACATCTAGGAGCATTCAGACTGCACAAGACACACATGAAGAATATCTATTGCAATAGAGACAGCACCTTTCCAATCTTGCTCACACAGATTATCACATGAAATTCCAAAGGTATTAAACTGGAGTGGACAGACATGTATATCAGATGGAAGAGATAAGTGTTTTGGTGGGGAAATCTCTTTAATGTTATCAGGATTGTGTGAATGAAAGTTATTTAGACCAGCAGTGTTGAACCTGCAGGTTCTGTATCAGAAAGTTAGTCTCTTATGGTTACTCATGCTGAATTTAATAAAAATCTGTTTCCAGTATTGAAATAGGAGAAGCCATATACAGACAAGGTTAGACAAACTTTCAGATACATAAATTCATGTGAAAGTGTAATGCACAGAAATTATTCATCCACAGTGGTCTTATGGGTTGTGATGATATGTAGACTTGTAGGTGGGTATGAACATTTTGTAGGAATTCAATGTCTCCATCTTCAGTGCTGAAGATGAAGGCACTATGTTCCTCTGAAATTCTAGTAGAAGACCACAATAAATATCTTCGCAAATTTCACACAGAAACTACATCCCCTACATTTTGCAGCTGTTTATTACATGGAAAACAGAATTTGTGCATACAAGTGTTTTTGTTCATGAAAACACATGTTTACTTATCAAATGGATTACAAACACCAAATGTGGATTAAGGATCAACACTTCTTGTCTCTTCCAGATAAAAGTGCCTGCATAGACAGTACCAAGTAGTAACAACACAGCAATGCCAGCCACATGCAGAAGAGATCAAACTTAATTACAGCTCTGAATTAAGTAGTGAAATTGTTGTGTAATATTAACATGACGGATAAGTCAAACGACGTACAGTTTCAGACATTGAAATCCTGCTGATTTTTTTTTAAAGATACTCTATATATAAATGTAAAACATTCTTGCACTCTAAAGAAGATAACATTAGTTTTAAAAATAAATTATTTTAAAAACTTGCAAAGAAAATTTATGTAAATTGCTCCATCCAATGTGCTGCATAGATTGTCTGATACTGCAGACAGTTTCTAGCATCTACTTAAATGGTATGAGTTACTGCACATGCCTTTTTACATTCCTGAATAACTTCTGTGGCCTGGTGGTTGTGGCTGGTTGTCTGAAAAACCTCTTTTTGTGGGGCACACACATTATTTTATTCAATTTTATGAAGGAAGTCATTTTGAAATCCGTAAAAACACAACTCAGTATGATATAAAGGACAGAGAGAGGCAAAGGATACGTTAAAAAAATCCTGGAATTAGTAAGGCTTATAGTATTATGCTGCATTCTTATAAAGGTTGACCTCACGCTTGCATAAAATTAAACCAAAAGTAAAAAAATTACAAAAACTAGGGTAAGCCTACTACGGACAGACATTTATTGTATACAAATCTTACCATTTTCTCAGATTCATAAGTAGTTAAAGACATATGATTTTGATTAGAAAATCTTACGAATATGAGCACAGGTTTCCTATTACAACACAGTAAACAAGAATCTGTGACTACAAGGAAGAAACATATGGTCTGTTTTGTAGACACTTCAAGGGCACTACCATCTGCACAGGTTATATAATGTCAAATGAGAGCCGACAGAGACATTCTGAATTGTATGTTGGATAGGCTTTGGGAGGAGGCAGTTTCAATTTACTTTTAAGACTGCCTCTGGTATTACTTGGGAAGAAAAAAATCATTATAAGTTGACAACAGCACAATATGGACTGAACTAGGTAAAAAGGTACCTATGAGGTATAAGTCTTTCCTCTTAAGATAATTTGTTCGGTATTTTGGTGGTGAAGTTTCCCTGAAATTCTTATTGCAAATTCTGAATTAGTGCTTTAAAACAGACATTTGCTATGGCTTTCCTATTCTGTAAGATCTGTGTGGACCTAATAGCAAATGTGGGACTTAAAATACAGAATAAAACACATTGACATTCTGGTGTGAAGTACAGTTGATGGCTCTGAATATCTGTTACACTGTTACAGGGAGACTCAACAATCAGTAAACCGAAAAGTAACCCGGGGGAATCGGAACGCCGCCACCACCACAACCACCACGACAGAAACTAGAGGATGAAACAGATACATAGGACATGAAGTAAGAGATAGCAATATCAGTGTCTGTAGCAATAAGAAAAATTGTGCTTTAGTACGTTCGCCATTAAGTGTTAAAAACTGAAACTTCTTACATTTTGCAGCAGTACTTTTAATGTTTCCAAAAACACTGTTCAAATAATATTAATACGCTGACCAGAAGAAATTCCTTGCTGAAATTATGGTGAAGAGGCAAAAATGAGCTATTAGAAATATTTAGAATTTTTGTGCTTACCTAAAACTATAGAGTAATTTAACCCCATCACTGCCGGCCTACGCTGACAAAAGTAACAAAAGCACTGATTCATTTACTTTTAATATCAATCACAAAAAATATTATAATGGAATAATTAAAATATTATGAACAACCCACAAAAGCAGAGCTTCTTATAGCACGTCCAGTGAATCCTACTGTCACCTATAAAGAAATTCTTAAATAGCCTGAGGAGTTCAGCCATGTTTCAATGAAAGATCAAAGTCTCATTAATGTCAGGAACTTCTCACAGTTTACAGTGTTTTTGATGTATTATTTTCGTGTTTTTTTTTATAATTTCTAGTCTGACAAGTTTTATCTCTGTATTTTTTGCTGAAGTGGTATAGTTATTAGGAAGGGGAAAAAGAACATAATATTTACCGGTTATTTTGTTGTATCTTCCCTTTTAGTCAGGGGCCTGTCACCATGAGATGTAGGAGTATTATAATTAAAATTATGCAGCATATCAGTTTGTAGAAATAGCTTCCAACTCTATATGTTCGCAGTACTGCAGAAACAAACTGTGGCATCTGCTAATGATGATAACGAAAGCAGGTTCTAATGATATCCACAGCAAATTAGGTATTAGTATTTAAATTCATGGTAACTTAATTCATATCTGATGTAACAATGTGTAATTTTAGATCAGTAATGATCCTTCCTGCAGAAATACTAAAGGAAATATATGATTTAGAATTAGATAAGTGTTCGTTAATAAACTGAAATAAGAGAGCATTAATTTGTGATTCTTATTATTTTAACAGTCTGTTTCAGCTTACCTACTTCCTTCCAGCCTAAAGCAATGCAATCATGAACTTAGCAGCTTAAATGCATCTTTTAACAAAGACTGTGTGCTCAAATTAATACTACCACCTTTATTTGAAATTGCCTGCAAAATCACTTCACTTGTCTACATTTTTTATATATAAAAATACAATGCCTTATACTACTAACAAAAGCTGAAATGAGTTTATCAATTTGATAACTACAATCTGCAATACCACGAAACAAAGAGAATTAAGACATAATATCATTCAAGCAAATTACATTTTATAAATAAAAATGTGACATTTTTATGTGTTTACAAGATATAAAATTTTGAAATTTCTGGAATTAAGAAACTGAATGTAACCCCAGAAAGATATTTAGTGATGAATACAATAATCTGCTGCAATATTTTACTTGTGCTGTAAACTGTGCCGATCTGTCAAGACACAATAACATGACATGATGCTCAGTGTTCACTGAATACAATAACCTAAGATCCAGCCAACCATTAACATTCGAGATTGTTTCACAAAATTTGGACAGCATTTTAATACAGTAGTGTATAAGTAATCACTTCAAAAAGTACGTGGTACTGGTCAAAGGCAAGAGATTTCACCTCATCATGCAGCAATATATAATGCTGGCACCTTTTCTTCATCAAAAACAAACGTAAAATAAGAAAGAAATGTAAAAATTAACAGCTTGCATATTATTTTCCCTGCTTTGCTAAGAAAATGTCATTTTAAGGACGAATTAACAGGGATTATATTGCAGAGTGTCAAGAGCAAAACAGGAGAAAACCCACACCTGTCACACATCCCAAACGCACCAAGCAAGAAATAATACAGGATCCTCAACACAGAAGATCTGCATGTTCAAGATCATTCAATCACACAAATGGAATCTGATGAGAAAATCGATTTGTCAGCAGTGTTTTCAGCAACGTATATTTTCCTTCCAAATGGATTGTCAGAGTCTCCACTGTAGGTGAAATCCTGCATCAAGTGCATTGCTTTGTGATTGAAAAGCAAGGCTTTGACAGCAGGAAGTTACCCACAGTGCACTTTGCTACATCTGTGCACCACCAGCTGAAGTCCGTCTTTTGCCAACAGCACGTGGAACAATCTTACGAAATAATGCAAATCTAACATGATACATACCACTGAAATATGTCCATGGAAAATTCCTCTGGTACATTTAATCGACCTTCCTAGTCTCTGCCTCTTCAGCAAGGTGAAGGACAACATAAATTTCACTAGTTTCATTGAAAGGAGAGTAGTGAGAATGATGGCCACAGAAGGAGATCTGCAGATTAACACGAGTTCTGAACCATGGTAGGCGTCTAGTAATTTCCACATTTCCAAATTTGAGGTTTCAGCAGAGGTGAAAACTTCAATCTGTGCACAGAAAAATCTGCAAATGTGCCACACACTTAAAATTAAAATACCCAAACATTCTTAATGCACTTCACATTAAACTTTTTAGGATTTGAGGTTACCACAGCAGTGAACACAAAGATGGCTGTCTTCTAGATTGCAGCACCATGTAGTCTAGTAAAAGTTTACCTATGTTTCAGAGACCCTTGCTGCTTCTATCATCAGTGCAATAATGGAAGCAGTAAGAACATCTAAAATATAAGTAAACTTATACCATACTACATGGCACTACAACTCAGAAGATAGTCAACTTCACAATAAACTTTACTACACATAATTATATTGTCACAGGCCTATAGGCAGAAGAAATGTGAGGCAGCCGAGAAAGAGACGAAAAGATCAGTTTACGATAATACTGGAGGCAGAATGGACCAGTCGGCCCAATCCATGAAATTACTGATGATGATGACTACACATAATTAAACTTCCAGACCAAAACAAAAATGTGACTTGACACATTTTTGTATTTCCAATGGTTAGTGATCAAAACAGAATTTAGTTACTATAATAAAATTGTAGAAAAAAATATAAACAAAATAAATAAAGACCTAGCTGACTCTGACAGTTTAACATGTGAAGGTTCAACACGGTCAATTCCTGCCACTGAACATTATCCTGTTCAGTTCCTACACATCCCATACTCACAATCTAGTTTGCAATGTTACCCTCTCACCCAAACTATACGTATGCCTGATCACAACCTCATCAACTTCACAGCCCAACTAAAACTAATCGTATGATAGCAAAGCCCAGAAGTTCAACACCACTAGTATATTAAAGCAGCTTCCTAGATTTTACTGTTTTAACAGTTCTATTAAAGTGACCTGCATAAATCATGAAGTTCCTTGTCATGGACACTGTCGCAATGAAAAAAAATCCTGAACAGCAGGAAATCAGAATCCAGTTGTTCTGCCCATTGCCTAGTCATTAAAATGACAGCTATTGTGGCTCCTTAGGCAAGTCATGCATACATATTTTAAAGTTCCTTGTTATATAATACCATAAAGTGCCCACTTACGTCATACTTCTTACATCTGAACATTTTTTCAAGTGGTCCATTATTTTCAGATAAATGTAATTTATGTTCTCAACTTAATAACGTAAATGACAAATGAGGGATTCTGAAACTGTTACTGTACCTTGTACCTGAGCAACCACTGTTGTTTGCACTATGTTGCATTTGCGGACAATTTCTCAAGGTCCTGTGATGTGCAGCATTATTGCGATCAGCTCCAATATCCAGAAGCCATGTTACACAATCCTTGTGTTTCTGTAACTCAGCAACATGTAATACAGAAACTCCATCATCTGTCACAGCATTCACATCAGCACCATTTCCCACAAGCACTTCCATGCATTCCACACTTCCATTGTACGCTGCTTCATGAAGTGGTGTCCAGCTATCAATGTTTCTTGTATTAACAACGGATCTGTGATGGAGAAACAGCTTAAGCAAGATGGAGCTGTTGCCAGAATGTCCTGCAGCAATGTGAAGGACAATTCGTCCGCTGTTGTCCTGTACATTGAGATCAGCCCCATGTTCCAGTAACAATCTTGCAAACTTAAAATATCCTGTTAAACATAAAATATAGTACCCATAGCACGTGACTGTATCATTTCTTAAAAAATCTATTACTGACTTATATTAACCTAAATTTAAATATTTCTTTCATTGGTTTTCGTGCTACAAGAAATTGGTTCCGTAAATGTATGCACATAGGAAGTATACTAATTTTTTCTGTATTTCCTACCACAGGACATGAACATATAAATCAAGTTGTATTCACAAAGTAGACATCAAATACATACAAATACTATAAATATGTATGAAATAAACATCTTACTTTTTGTGATATAAAGAGCATCTATCAAAAACTGAAACTGAGTTACAAACCTCTGTAGCAACGTTCTCATAGGAATGCACCTCACTTGTACTTCAAAGTTTAACTCAATGACTTAGTAATACTTTGTTGTTGCTGTATCGTCACAGCATACTCACAAATCTCTGTAATGAAATGCTGCTGATGGTGGTCGTCCTTACAACAAAACACAACACTGTAAGGCCAACTGACACATCTCTGTGAGGATCCAACTCCTGTTGTGCAGTCCATGTGTTAATCTGTTAAAACATTCTATAACCATGTTCCTGTTCCACTGTTTCCCTTAAATTACTAGAATATTGCCATTTAAGCCTCCTGAACAATATTCCCTTTTAGATGGATTATTCCTCTAGCATTTTCTCACTTTTACACATTATGTGTCAATCATGTCAGTGAAATTCATCTTTCACACAACTATATCAAAATCTGTTTTACTTTTGTACATGGGAATTCACAGCATTGCCTCACTTTTTCTTTTGAACTGAAAATGGTAGCAATTACACAAATGTTGTCATTAAACTGTACTTCAAAACTGTACATGATTGTTTTCTCTGCAACTGCCAAAGCAAATGTTGCAAGAGATAGATTCAGATATTTCACAGTGCAAGAACTGCATTTAGGCATGGTTAGAATTGTGTACCTCAGCCCTTTTTGGAATTTAAACTGTTCAAAAGAAAGTAATTCATAATCAGTTGGTAAGGAATATGCTATTGTTGTCAACTTTTAAAGGAATGAATATCGATTGAATATAAAACACCACAGACATGTGCACTCTGAATAAAAATGGGAATTATCGGTGTCAAAACCTACATTTTAAAGTCTTTTCATTAGAGAAATATTAAACGAGTATTTTTTTCACAGCCCACGGAGAAACAAAATGAATAAAATCTCTCACATACTTCGTGTTTTCTGTGTTCAAATTGACCTTCAGCAAAAATGATTACATTCTGAAAACAGCTTTGCAAAATGTATACATTCAAGCATACCAGAAAACATCTGTCGTGATTTCCTATTGATTAACAACATCCAATAGATTTACCTTATGCAAAAATATGTTAGACAGAAAAAATACGCGCAAGTTCTCAGCCTAATCCGAAAACATTTTGTCCCATAACCTTAAAACACTGCTTCCATCACCGATATAAGTGCCCTGCAATGATGGACGAAAGTTGCGTGCACTTATGCAATAAAAGACGAATAAGCACAGAACTTCCGGCATATAAAGGAAAACTGAAAATTACAGCCTTCTAGGGGTACTGCGCCGTCTAGTCTCGTATAAAATGACCGACGTTTCAGAGTCATTATCACTGATTCGTGCTTACTGCTTCCATAATCAATACACAATAGTAGGCACACTGAACTAAATGTGCTCTGTGTACGGACTGGATATAGTGAAATACAAAACTATGAATGAAGCTTAGATGATGTTAATTCAATGTGCAATATAATTTTAAAGCACCCCCGTTGCCAATTGCACAGGAGGCTGGATGGGCCCCAGAGCTGGTCTGGAGGCAGAGGCTAGAAGAAAGTCCTCTGCCACTGAAATGTTTGTGATGGATGCTCAAATTGGTGAGATCATGCTCTAACCCATAACACTAGCACCATTCAAGCAGGATCTTGATATTTTGTTGGGGAAAGGAAGGATTTGGGTACATAATAAAACTAAGCAAGTAGAACATAAAATAATGTGAATAATTTTTAATTGTCATATTATAGAAATTACAGAAGTACTCATTCAAAAACAACTACAACAGCTTCCAGGTGGCTGTACTTTACAGTGCTGGCAGTGTTATAACAATAAACAATAACAATGTGTGGTTTAAAATATGCAACAGAATCAGCAATTTTTTATAACTCAAAATAAATAAGTCTACTACATCTACTATGAACAATGACTACAACTGCTTCTTTATCTTCTTCACAACCTTAAAGGCAAAACTGTGACTATTTCCTTGCCCTACAAATAAAAAATTAAAAGGGTCACAAAAAAGAAACAGCATATTCAAAACAAACCTCTTGATGGTCACGGGGACAGTGAAACATAACTCTTCGGAAACATTAAAATGAAGACTTCATCCAACAATTTCCTATAGTCCTTCACCCCTGTATATCCTTCAGGAGTGATATAACTGGTGAAAATAAATGTTATAATCATGAAGATGGCTGTCTTCTGATATGTAGAATTATGTAACAGTGTAGCAGATGCAGACTGATGTCTCAGAGAAGCCTATTGCCTTCATCTCAAAAGACAACCATCTTCAAACTCATCACCATGAGAACCTCAAATATCACTATTTTCTAATGTCTGGGCACTTTAAAATAATCAACTTCAGCATCCTAAATCCTTAATATAAGTTACCATGAAAATATATAATGAAAAGTTTAGCATGGAAGGGGTTAATTATTTTGAAAATACATACTGCTTGACAAGAGTGATATATCATTAAACATATAATCCTCAATGCATAACTGTCAGAGTAACAAAGAAGAGAAGGCACAACAGCAGCATTTTGTTCCCGTTCAAGATCCATTCAGTATAATAAAACAAGCTGGGACAGCTCAATCATATGACAGGCTGAATGATCAGTCACCACATCCAGACCAACTGTGGGGTCTTCCCACACTGTGTATACGAGGTGTTCTTTCCTCGGTGTTTATGGGCTAGAGCATAAAAAAAAGACCAGTGAGATGAATTGACCATTGTGACAAACCTTCAGAGATAAAGAAAGAACTTAATACTTTCTACAACATTTCACGTACTGTGCATTTTGCATGATATGCATGGGACAAAATATGAAGGTAGATATAAAATTACACTGATGATAATCTGTGCTGTGACATTATATATCGTAATTACTGCAATTACTATAAATTCTAATCAAAATAATTTACACAATAAAACACGGAATCAAGGGATCAAGCTAACAACAGAAACCTAGGTATATTAAAATGAAAGAGCATAAATGTATCCAAAAGGCAGTCTATTACTATAAAACATATCTACCTGCAATAAAGATCGCTGACTTCTGGGTTGTAGCGCCATGAAGTCTAGTAGAAGTTACCAACATTTCAGAGGTCCTTGCTGCCTCCATCATCAAAGTAATGGAGGCAGCAAGGGCCTCTAAAACGTCGGTAAACGTCTATCAGACTACACAGCCCTACAAACTTGAAGAAAGCCATCTTCGTACTCACTGCCATAAAAACCTCAAATACTACATAACTACCTGAAAGTTCAAATGGCATTACAACTCAGAAGACCAACATAAATCTGTTTGATAGTAATACTAATAATTCAGCTGGTACCAACTTATTTCATTACATTAACACACAGTTTACTAGTATGGTGTCACCTGCTTTCCTTGTCCAATCTCAGCAACAGCGCCTTTATATGAGTTGTGATTTGAATTACAAGCAGATAACTCACGAGAACACAAGGAAGTACTACAAATAAACCCAGGCCTTCAAAGATTAACTTTGGAGCAAAGATCTTCCATACCATGAGATGTCGGCAGTGGACTGTAGCAGCGAGCATGCACATAAACATCTGAAACATACAATGGAGGACAAAATTGTTAGAAATTGTGGCAATATCAAGACGTTCCATAAAGAAAGTGTGGGTAACACATGTATAGGTAAGTGTTTTGTGCCAGCCAACTTACCCTAATTCCAAAAAACAAGATATACTTGGTACAAAGAATAAATGCCTCTTGATATAACAAGTCAGCTTTCTCGTACAGAATAAGTTCCCCTCGTTTCATGTCCTTGCTCTTAATGCTGTCCTTGTCGGCAGATGGCAACATTTTGGGGAACATAACATGGAGGGTGAATGGTGCCACCAGTAGTACAGGTAGCGTCACACTCAGTACAACGTGTGCAGCAAATGTGTTGAGGCAGACAAGCAGAGCAGGCACCACATGATTTGAAAACTGACCACCCGTCCCCACAAATGCAGCCTCCCATTGGATACCAGGGAATGTTGTAGTATGTCCAGTTCCATAGAAGAAATACACAGTCAGAAATCCCCAGCATATGACCGAAGACCAGGGGACTTTAAACAGCTGAGCTGTAAAATATTGAACAAGCTGTTATGGTACCACACAGATTGATGGTCAGTAATGTCGTAAGACAGGAGCCACATGGTTAAAATCTTGGCAACATTATCAGGTACCATGAACAAGTTTTTTCATGTTTTTCCTGTCTCTCCAGTGAATGCCAGTCATGGAACAATACAATTCCTCTGGAGACATATGTCTCCAAAGTGGTCTCTAAAGTTGAATGAGAGCACTGATGCTTAATATATGTACAGGTATTTGACTCTTCTATCCACTACAAAGTGATATAATGGCCTTACGACTTACAGCACCATTTTTAATATTTGCAATATATTTTCCCTGCTTGATTTCAAACTATAGAATGTCAAGGAAAAGGAGGAATTTTATATGAAAATGTAACCTTTTTATCAAATTAAATCATACATCTAAAAACGATATGTTAAGCAAACAAACTTTCCTTTGACTATGAGACAGTCACTTATGTCCTAGGAAGGAAAAATGAGGAAAATATTACTGACCAACAGATCAATATCTTGTGTTCTTTGATCAAAGAGCATAAAATGAATTAATAATACTAATCTGTATATGAACTGTACATGTCTGCAAGAACTAAACAAATTTCAATGACATTTAATAGTGAGGCCTACGATAAAATTTACAAAGCAAACTTAATTTTGGTCCACTTGATCACTATTTTATATGAAGCTGAAATAAAACATTAAATACTTGATAAAAAATTACCCTTTCTACATAAAAAGATAAGTATGTGATACATAGCTTCTGTGAAGTGTGACACCTGTTATGTCTGTAGTGTTCTTACCATCGCTATTACCATTTGTAACATTTGGTAAAATTAGATTTACATCAATTTTAATGGTAGTATTAAGAGCAATAAATGAGAAAGGGAAATGAGGTAAGGAAAATTTCAATTAACATGCTTAGAAAACATGCATACTCTAATTCAGAGAATACCAACCCATTTGCTTTTTTTATATATTCAATAAAGGCCAGTTATATTCATAACTTTATACCTATATCATACATATAAATTGAAATAAATGTAGAAGAAGATTATGAATTAATAGACAAGCTCAGATGTTCTCTCACCTGTATAAAATGACTTCTCATACTGTATTGCTGAAAGGATGATTAGCAGCACTATGCTAGTAGTATACATTAGCACCACAGATGAAGCCATTGTATCTCCCAAGAGCAGAGCAACCAACAAACATACAAACACACAGACATTTACAAACACTGAACTGTACACTGTTGCCAGACCATACACAATGGGAACATCCTTTCCTAAACTGTCATCACCTCCAGCAACGCCTGACTTGCTTCGGCCTCTCATTAGCTCTTTCATTTGATTGAAAAGGTGAGGAATGATGTTTGTCTGTCCATATACTGGGAGAATCATACTGTCTTTCCTCCTGGGAACTACAAAAATACTCAGCGGTTGAAACAATGTAGTCATAAGCGCAACAAATATAACAGTGTAAACAATCCATGGCAGGATTTGAATCTGTAGTGGTAAGAATAGCTTATATTTTGTGTCATTTGGTAGACTTTGCAAGACCCAGAATCCAGCTGTACAGACAACAATGATGGTAGGGCCGTAACGAGCTATAGTTACAGTTGGGGAGAAGCCGACAAGGTTGCCACAACTTCGCAACCATATACGGCCTACAGTGACAAAAAGTGCAAGGCAAATCAGAGTGAAGAACCACTGTGAATTACAATACCTCATATTGACAAGACTGGCGAATGAATGAGCCTTATGCAATGCAGAGGATTCACAACCTATCTGTTCTTCTCGGCACAGCCAATAATACTGTGACAATCTGACCAACACACTCAACAGTGTGACAAACATAAACAGCTTAAACTTGAGTGGTGTTAGTAAAGTTTTATTAAACCATGATGGCAACTGTCTTTCAGAGGTTTTAACTCTTCCTGCAGGTTCTGGCTTTGAAGGTTTGAAATTATATACAAGCAGCCATGCCATTGTAAGAAGAAAGTAGGACAAGACTGTAGCTTCCTCAACAACATAACTATTAGAAAACAACCCACACAAGCTGAGTATGAGTAAGACCCTTCCAATGACACTGAGCCAATCATTTGACTTAACCTGATTTTGCCAATGACTGGAGATAGCTGCCCAACTACGAATGATGATCAGTGCTACCATAATCATGGACAATATTCCAGCTGCAAAATATAATGATATTTCTATGTTGTTACCAAGGTTTATTAAATAACAAATAAATGTCCCAAATGCAGTGAACACCAGACAACCAATTATAATATACTGAAATGTTCCACTAAGTGTTTCCTTTAACTGATCACCAGGGACACCATCAACTAACAAGAAAATGAAAAATACTGATACAAAAGTTAGCAGTAGACCATTGTACATCAAAACAGCATCAAATTGCACCCAGACTTCCTCACACATTTGTCTCACTAACGACAGATGACTTTTAACACGTGAGGAAAAATTTACAAAATCTTCTAAACTGGATATAGATTTTATATTTTCTTTGAGCATTGTGTAACTCATTTGTACTAAGCTCAGTCTCTCTTGTGAAAACTGGTTGGTTTTTTTCGAGTAATGCCTTGTGTATTCCATAATTTGCTGAACATTTATCCACAAGGTTTCTAAAGCAAATTTCCAGTCTGAGAGAATATCTTTCCCTTCAGTCAGGGAAGGCAATGCTTCAAGTATAACAGAACCCAGATTTGCATACGGAATGGGTAAACCCAAAATGGTTGAAAGTGTGGGAACCAAATCCACTTGATTCACTGTATCTGAATGTGGGAAGATTTCTGTTGACAGAAGGGGCTTTCGAGAGAAAACAAACATGGCTGCTGTAACTTCAGCATCACTGTCCCCACCATGATCTCCTGTAAGAAGAAATAATAATAAACAATGGAAATTATAACTGGGATAAAAGTATGAACCACCACAAACTGTATAAAGAGTAATGAACACATGTGTACTTCACATTAATACTACTAGGATGAAGCAAGATATCTTTCCAGTTATTTTTTGTACAGTAGTTAATATTTGCCTACACGCAATATTTTGAATATTTCTATGTGTAAGAACGTATATTACAAGGTTACAAATAAGGAATCAGGAGGATAGGCATAAGTTAATAGAGACTTTTATACGATGGTAATCTAATTACCTGTGCTTGTCATTCCATGATCACCAATCACAAACAACATTGTATGATTATCAACTGTATCCACCACTGATCTGAAATCATAAGGAGACTTAGAGTGTGAATTACTATAGTTATTTAAAGAGTATGTTTATGGAAAATTCTCCATACCTGATCATATCATTCATTTCACTCAACTTCCTGGCCATCTCAGAGTGATAAGGACCATATCTATGCCCGCAATGGTCCACACCTAAGAAATGTGCTATTAAAAGACTCCAATCTTTCTTCAGTATTTCTGGCATAAGGTGGTTCATTATTCCACTATCCACTGTATCTAAATCCCATACATTGAATGATGGATATGAATATTCTCTGATAAACCTCTTTGGATACAATCCAGACCAAGTGTCATCACCCATGAACACAATATTTTTGTTTTGAGATTTTATCTGATCGAGAATATTGTCTTCATTTATCTCTGGTGTAGCAAAATTGGATCCAATATCAACAAATGTAGGTAAACTTCCAGTTGTCAGGCCCTTCAACCTTTGCATTGTAGTAGTTGGTGGATCAGCAATAAATTTGAACAGTCTAGTATGGTCTGGTTCCTTGGCCAGTAAATCATTAATTACTTTTAGTTTATTTTGATAAGGGAGTAGTTCCTGATCCTGCAGCTTTTCATGAAAATAGACAAAATCAAACTTCAAAGCATCAATAACAATTAACACCACTTTTGTCCTACTTAACCAACATGTTTGCTGATCCCCAATCATATCAATTTTTTCCGTCCATAGCTCTTCTTGTCTGCATTGTCCTGATTGTGTGCTAAAACCTTCATTGTTTTCACTTTGTAAAGAAATGTTATTACTATTAGTGCGGCTTGTATTTCCACAAACATTGGCCGGTATACACCTAGATTTGTGAGGTAGTACTTCTCGATTAAGCAGAAACCCGCGTGCAAACAACAACACTCCCGACATGAACAAGTATGAAAACCATAACAACAGAAAAAAATATTTCCAATGTATTTCCATTTTGCTTCTAAAAGCATGTGTAATATTTAATACTCAAACACTTTCCCTGTCACCATGCTTACTTGGGGGCGGGGCATTTATATTCACAAATACCAACATTACATTCGATGTTTTGTCGAAGAGAACATGTAACATTACACAATAAAATTTTTAACAAACTGGGGTCACGATAAACATGTCTATCACTCATAAACTTGAAGAATTATAGAGGGGTAAGATCAGTAACTTCGATGAGCATCCTGCAGTTGAAAAAGAATGCTGGAGTTACGTATGTTATTAGCATGAATTTTCTGTATCCTAATCTATAGTACAACGTATGTTATTAGCATGAATTTTCTGTAGCGTAGGTATCCTAATCTATAGTACATTATATACATGTTGGCTATATGGTATCTAAAAAAGGATTAGAAAATGGCGGTAGCCACAAGGAGTGTGGTGATGGTGGTACGGAATCACCTTGGAATCATTAATTACGCTGTTAGAAGTCTCTGTACAACTTCGCCAAACAAAAAAACAATTTTTTGTAAGAAGCTAGGGTGCATTTCAGCGTGTAATTTCTCCCATGAACTTTTGAGATACAGTTATCGCTCTCATTCATATGTTAGGCATTGCATTTCAACGTGTAATTTCAACCATGAACTTTTGAGTTACAGTTATCGCTCTCATTCACATGTTAGACATTCCAGCAACAAGGGGAAGCTGCATTGTAATGTAGGTACAATTGGACATGTAGATCATGGGAAAACAACCTTAACTGCGGCAATCACGAAAATATTATCGAGAGATGGAGCAACAAGATTTGTTTCTTATGACGAGATCGACAAAGCACCAGAGGAAAGAGCTAGGGGCATTACAATTAATGCAGCACACATAGAGTATGTCACAAAAAACAGGCATTATGCACACACAGATTGCCCAGGGCATGCTGATTACATAAAGAACATGATTTCAGGGGCATCGCAAATGGATGGTGCTATTTTGGTTGTAGCTGCCAATGATGGTCAAATGCCTCAAACTAGAGAACATCTACTGTTAGCTAAACAAGTTGGAGTTGAAAAGGTTGTAGTATTTATAAACAAAGCAGATTTGGTTGAAAACGATGTACTTGAACTTGTAGAGCTTGAGATGCGTGAGCTGTTGGATGATTTTGGTTTCAATGGACTTCATTCACCAGTGATATGTGGTTCTGCACTATTGGCACTCAATGGTGATACATCAGAGCTAGGGGAGAATTCTATCTGGAATTTACTAGATGCCATTGACAGGTACTTTGTAATACCTACAAGGGACTACACATCTCCTTTTGTGCTTCCTATAGACAATGCTTTCACAGTTTTAGGAAGAGGTACAGTGGTTATTGGTACCCTTGGGAGGGGTATAATAAAGAGGAACATGGAAGCAGAGCTACTTGGATTTGATGAAGAGATCAAAACTACTATTTCTGATATTCAGGTATTCAAGAAATCTGTTCCTGAAGCAAAGGCTGGTGACAATTTAGGGGCATTGGTAAGAGGTGTTCGAATACAAAGTGTACAAAGAGGAATGCTGCTGTGTGCAGCTGGAAGTCAGGCAATCGGTAATCATTTTGAAGCTAACGTATACTTTCTGACAAAGGCTGAAGGTGGAAGAAGCAAACCAGTTACATCCAAGTATATACAGCAGCTGTTTAGTAGGACTTGGAACGTGCCATGCCGTGTCGACTTGGTTAGCGGTGAAATGTTAATGCCTGGTGAGCATGGTTCTGTGTATCTCACTTTACTCAGAAGAATGGTCATGATAGAAGGTCAAACATTTACAATACGTGAAAATCACAAAACTGTAGGCACAGGAATAATTGTAAAAATGTTGAAAAGTGTTAATATTGTGAAATCAAATTTAAGCAAAGTGGACATTAAACATGGGCTATAAGAGCAGATTCAAATTAGCTTGTGACTTAGGATTACAAAAATAGTTTTGTTTTATGTATATTAAGCTATTTTTTACGCATCCTCTGGAGGTTGTTCCTTGTTTCTCCAATGAGTTGACATTTTATAGTTAGTTAACATTGCTCATTTCAAGTTCGATGTAAAAATTTTATTATGTACTTGAATTTAAAAATACATTTCTATCAATCAAGAAGATACAAAATAAACAGGGATTGAACAAAAACTCTTTCCATCTTCTTTACCTTTGTTTTATCACTGAACTCACTCCATACAATATGAGGTGCTGTAACACACTTCATTGGAAACTTCAACACAAACAGAACTTAAACTCTTTTATAACTTAACCTGTGCTGCATCAACATTATAATTACACGCAGTGTGGGTAAAATATACAGAGTCAAAAATGTAATACTGCTTCACTTCTTACAGACACATTTGTAATATTTTCAATGGACCCCCAAATGCCAACAAAGGTAGTCAACATAAAACAAACTCAGGTAACAACAAAGGAAGTATCAATGTACATAAAAGTGCATCTTTAACACACAACAATATTTTGATATTCCATCACACCTCGGACTGCTGAATGAATCTACCAATCTTCCTCTGGTTCAAGCGGCTGTGGCTGCCCACGACCACTATCTGAGACACCTCCAAGAAAGCTATCTGGTTCACCATTCTTGTCAAACTATAAGGGAAAATGTACAAAAGTGAGGATTCTTCAATTGGATTGAATATTTTTCTCCGATGTTCATTGAAACGCCTATCAGAATGTAAAGCATCACTTCTTAGTTCATGACAATCCATAACACATTCTAGTTCTCTATACCTCCTTAGCAATAACAATTCTTGTAAATAGTACATCCAAATTACTTCCTAAATGTATCCTTTAATATTTTATAACTCTTTGGCTGATGTTAATTTATTGCAGAAAAACTGTCCCTTGAATTTCATTAAATGTCCACTACATCATATTAGAAGATATCATGTACTCTTTTTCTGACAGATTGACTTTTTTGTTGTTGAGAAAACAGATTAAAGACTGATTTAAATTCATGCAGACAATGGGTCACATGGGGAAACAAGAATCAAATCAAAACATCTTTTAGTATAGTGAGTGGACAGCAACCTACATTCTACCCTCCATGTGAGATCCCTCATATCCACACAAAACAAGAAAGACTATAATAGTTTTTTACAACATAATCTTCATGTTCTTAGATAGCAGTCAGGAAGACAATTCTCAACTGCAAGGCAGCAAGTATTCCCCAAATTAGCCTGATCTTAATTTCTTTGAAGAGATTAATAATCACATCAAACATTCTTGAGTTAAACAATGGCACAAGCACTCACCTTCCTGAAATCCTTCCCACCAAAACGACCAAAGTGGGTCTGAGATGAATATAATGAGTCAGCTGCATACTTCTCCAGCCATGGTGGAATATTTTGACCAGCCTAAAGCAAATCAATCGGTGACCACACACAGTTTTAAGAAAGTGCTTATGCTTAGCACATTCATTATTATGTTTCCCTTCTTTGAATCACATATGTTTTTCATAATAGTGAATGCAAAACCAATGGAGAGACATTGGAAAAACTGGAGACACCATCTGAGAGAAGACATACAAAAGACAGTAGGCAAAAGGTGGATACAGGTTCAGGAGACAGATTATGGGAAGATACAGAACAATGTACAAGATTCTGTTATAAGATGGCATGCCCTAAAGGAAACTAGTGAATGACAATGATGTTCTCCATATTGGTACAATTCTGCCCTGGTGTAATCTACAAATAGACTTGATTCCCAAGAAGCAAAATATTTTAGTACACGTAACTGAACATATTCAACTGTGCGAAGTATAGCGAGTATAACCAGAATTAAATGTTGCTTAAACACTGTTGACTTGTACCTTACTCTGTGAAGCATGCAATATGAAAGGCAAGTGATAAAGAATGCTACTGCATGTATTATAGCCAGAGGTACATCTGCTCTCTTGGCAGAAGATATAAACTGAATTATATAAAAGAAACCCAGTTTCATGCTTGCTTGCACAAGACGTATTTAAATGGGAGTAGATCTCACAGAAAATGCTCCACAAATAACACAACATGTACTAAAGCTGATATAAAACAATATTCAGTAGACTTTATAATGGCTGCTACCATTATGTACTGAAATCATGTACTTCTCTTATGGACAACACTACTGACATAAGGACGATAGAGAAAGGAACGACATAACAGTATGAAATGGAAGAAGAAGTGAGGGATAAAGGTATGAAAGAAATTGTTCTGTTAATTTCAACAGGCATTTTTATGCTAATTACGTATTAATGAGTACATTTCGTACCTTAAACACCTCTGTGCCTCTTTTACCCAATACAACTTTTCAGCACATAATACAATTCCAATTTTCTATTATAATATAATTATATTCCTTACCGTCAACCATTTATTTTCATAACTGAAGAAAGCAAATAAAGACCTATATTCTTAATCTGCTTGTAAACAAGCCTATTTAAAGTAATTTACATTAAAATATAAGCAACTGAACGTAACTTATACCAGCATTACATCAATTTTTCTCACCTGTTCAAGAATCTTCAAAAGATCTTTGGCCAAGGGACCATCACATTCTGGATCATAAAAACTTGTGGCCTTACCACAGTTTCCAACACGTCCTGTTCGCCCAATACGATGCACATACTCATCAATACTCTTGGGGAGATCAAAATTCACAACATGAGAGACGTTTTTAATGTCTGAAATGAAAGAAAATTTTCAAGTTAAATACTCTTTGTCTAAGGTGGCCTTCTCCAATTCTACTGTTCCTTAACCTCCATTTAGGATCAGAATTTCTCTACAATTTCAAGAAGAAATTAATATATTTTCTCTTGAAGATAATTTCCCATCTAGCTGATATATATATACACACACACACACACATATATATATATACACACACACACACCCCAACCTTCTGAATGTCTTCTTTTAAATAATCAAAATTTTAACTGATGATGGTTAAGTCTAAAATAGAGAAATCAGTAATTCAGGAATACATACTTAATTGTGAGGATGTTTCCAATGAATGACATTACAATATAACCCACTCAAAGCAAGTTTCATTAAATCAACAACAAAAATGTTTGCAGTGCAGTCTTCATTCATAATACTGATTCATTTTCAAACAAGTGAATTATTCAAGTTATATGTTCTACGTAAGGACAAAGATGGTTCTCAAAATGTTGGTGTTTTCTCCATTAAACCACCTGACATAGCTGGTAACCCAAGAATAATTCATTATACTTGGTCGCTGTGAAAGCTTCAGATCATACAAGCTCCTTCACTTCTAGATGAAATCTTTTCAGACAATCAACCATATTAATATAAAATAAAATTACATTCAAGACACAACAAGAGTGACAATTTTATTGACTGGAAACATGCTTTTCCTCTAAAGAGAGCTGATGTATGTGTATAGTTTTCAGAACATAACTTACAGTTAGTAAATAATTAGTCATACTCACCAAGCCCTCGCGCGGCAACAGCAGTCGCCACCAGTACTCCCATGCGACCACTTTTGAAGTCCCATAGGGCCTCCTCTCGCTGTTGTTGCATACGGTCTCCATGTATACTAGTTGTGGGAAAATCATTGTCAGACAGGTACGCAGCTATGAAGTCAGCAGTACGCTTCATTTCAACAAATACCAATGTCTTCTCACTTCCTGTACAAATAATATATAATATAATTTATGTACCACTTTCATTAAGAGAGTAAGGTCTAACATATGACACCAACCTTCTTGAGAAAGGAGATCAATCAGTTTTGGACGTTTTTCAAACTTTGACACCAAATGGAAACGTTGCTCAACGTCTGAACAAGCACCACCCACAATGCCAATAGCCAAGAAGAGGTAGCTGTGTAAGAATTTTCCAGCCAAACGCTGAATGTCTACTGGGAATGTGGCAGAAAACATCAAGGTCTGTCGTTCACCCTACAATAAGATCGAAATAATCACATTAAGAAATATATAGATAAAAAGCACAATTTGTTCAGTGGCCAAGTTTTAAGTCCGTCTACCCACAAAATTCATTCAATATCCTTTGTAATGTTTAATGTCACTCCTAACCTTCTAATCATGTAACATGACACAGCAACCCCCTGCATTGTACCAAGAGATAAAATGACCACTTGTCAATATTTTGTTCATCATAGTGATTTTCAACGTGACAGTGAAAGGAGAAACACACCAACGCAAAGAACAACCCTTCCTTAGCATACACATACAACAATTTTCCTGCATTATAATAAATTTTAGTGGACAGCATGAATAGTCCTTGTATGTATCTAATATCCCAAAAATGGTCTCTGTAAACCCAGGCAAGGATATAACATCCACTTTTGACACGGAAGCACCCACAGGGCAATCATAAGAATGATGGCAGGGGAGACTTGCAGGCTGATGTGGATTTGGAACAAGGTGCAGGCCTCATATTTTTCATATTCACGAAGTTTTACCTTTGAGAGAGGTAAAAACTTCAATGTGTGAGCAGAAAAATCCACAAACAACCCGACTGGTAATCACCACCTGAATAACAGTTGTCTCTCATTAAACACTAACTCAACTATGTACCTCCACTGGCAAGATTAAAACACTTAAACCATACTTCCACAATTTGTTCAAAATTAGTGAAAACTGAGATAAAGACATATTTTCTTTGCAGCATTTCTTCTACACAAAATTTAATAAATTATTCAGTATCCTCCCAACTGTATCTTGGTCTCCCAAGTGGCTTTTATACAGCACAAATAACTACAAATTATAAGGGTGGTTCAATAGAAACCTAGCTGGGTTCAATTAAAAAGTATCTACCAAGCTCACATACAGTCACTGCCTACATTTAGACCTTGAAAAATTTATGAACAGCTTGTTTTCACTTAAGCATCTGACTGGAATTAGCATCACTTAAGTACCTGCTTCAATGGCCAAAAATGTCAATGTTGCAGGAGAAGAGATCTGGACTGTACACCAGATGCTCCAGTACCTCCCATGTAACGCACCTTGGTCTTGATAGTATTCACTACATGAAGGTGCAAGTTTTCATGCAACTGTCTGAACCAAGCTTTCGCCATTGTTTCCAACACAAAGTCATTAACGCACATGGTTAGCACCCGGCAATAAATCTCTACTGCTTTACAGCCTTCTGCATCCAGAAACTGAATCATGGCAAGACGATCTTGCTTGAAGTACATACTCATAATCCATATTTTCTAGACTGCCACACATCACTCAATCCTACAGCTGCATCAAAGCTCATAATGCAAATGATGCCTCACCAATACACTTACAGCGTAGTCACAGGATTGAACAACAATACTCTTGCCTGGCATGCCCCACACAGGTTTTATTGAACCACTCTCATAAATATTCTACGGCAGTATAATAAATATCCCACATTTGGAACCATTGTGGAATGATTCATGATGCGTTCTACATCAGGCATGAAGCCCATATCCAACATACGATCAGCTTCATCGAGGACTAGAAAGCGTATAGAAGAGAAAGTGATTCGGCCTCTGTTCACAAAGTCAATGAGTCGACCTGGTGTTGCAACAAGTATGTGGCAACCATCCTGTAATACAAAGACAGGCAATAAGTAAAACACATCAATACAGGTTAGAAGAGCCAGAAAAATAGGTGCCATAACCCAAAATGATAAAGACTTTGTTAACACAGCTGAACTGGTAATGATTCAGATCTGTCTCTCGCTATCATGTCCCACATACTACGACACAAGTGGTAGTTTATCAGATTAAAACATTTCATGTATACATATATTGCAGTACCAGATTCCAATATCCTTAGCTACTTTTTTAAATTAATACTTGAGTTAAGTCTTCAAAGACAGATTTTCCTTCAAAACTACTTACAAAATGCCAAAGATATGGCATAAATTTCCTATTTTGTATAGAATAATTTCTTCTTAGATACATTCCAATATTAAACAGTTTAAACCCTCGCAAAGAGACTTACCATAACTTGCCGAGCCTGATGATAAACAGCAGTACCACCATAAGCCACCACAACCTTTACAATTGACCCGTGTGAAAACTTTCTTGCTTCAGTGAATATTTGAATTGCTAACTCCCTGGTGGGTGAAATGATTATAGCATGTGGTTCACAATGCTGTGATGTTATTATTAGATCTTTTGTATCCCTGATCAAGGTGTTGATCATTGGAAGAAGGAATGCAGCCTGAAAAATTCAAGCATCTTTCATGTACAACCTTGCTGGTCAACAACAAAAATCCCAGATGTCAGGTTGCCTAAAATTGTCATAATAGCGCCTAGATTTTTTTTGCAATTATCCTATTTTATATCACTGAATATTATTATGTAACATTCCTGGTCTTATCTGTGGGAACAATAAGTAATTCATTTTGTAAGATGCATACAAAAAAATATTATTTCCAATTCTCACATCTGTATGGTAGCTCCTATATTTACTGTGCAGGCTTACCATTTTGTATATATACTATCAGCATTCTTATTCCATATGAACAAGCGCACACTTACAGTTTTGCCAGAGCCTGTCTGTGCACAAGCCATCAGATCTCGTCCACTCATTATTATAGGAAGGGCGTGTTTTTGTACTGGTGTTGGTTTTAAGTATCCAGATTTCTTCACATTATCCAGGACAAACTGGCAAAGGCCTGCAGACTGAAAAGTTTCTGCTGGCTGAGGAACATTTTCACCGGTAACCTGAACACAATAATGATACAGTAATTACATTATGACTTGTGGTTTAAAAACTGAGTTGTCTGCAACAATATTTTGTTCTTTGCAAAAAATGATAATGTTTACACATCTTGTTAACATCTGGGGCCTTCATTGTAGTGAAAATCTGAATTGTTGCATTTTAGGTTATGAAATTGTGTAATTTATCCAGAAGACCACAATCTAACTGTGTATCTTGTTATTTGTAGGTTTTCTCATTGAACACTTTGCAACATAATTAAAGCTGGTTGCCAGTCCACACCATTCAGAAACAGCTTAAGAAAAACAACTTGAAAAAAGTAAACTAATCCACATTTCGTAATGTTTTACCAAGACTGAAGTGCAGAGAAATATTTATTAAATACTTAGCACTACATTACTACTAACTAAAATATCTTCATTACCAAGTTCTGAAACAATGTCATAATTAACAAAGGAGATTTCATCAAGACTGCAACTGCTATCTGTAAGTAACTAATAGTTCCCTCTGACTTAAACATGATCAAATCTCCCACAACTTGCAACTTTGATGTACCAAAAATTTTAATTCTAACCATTGTACTTTGGATGGTAACTTAATAGATAAATCACACACACACACACAAAATGGTAACATTTAATCTGTATTTTTTAACTGAACAAATACAAGGAACTTCAGAATAATAAACTACAAGGAAAGCACATCCACTTTCTGAGATCATTTTTACAGAAAATTCATCTCGACAGTTTTGTTGTGTTCTAGAAGAGAATTCTGATAAATGTAAACGTGGTGAATAAGAAAATACAGCCGGCAGTTGTAACATTAACAAACACATTACCATACCTTTCAGGACATAAAATGTTATGTAGGAAACACATACCTCAACTTTAATATTGTCATATTTATCAAAGTTGATACCACAACTAATTCCGCCATCAAACATAGCTGCTTCATCATCAACTGGTTCTGGAGGAATGTATAATTCACGGGGTTTTGGTGGATCAACACTATTTTCTAAAAAAGAATAACAAATAATGTGACAAACATGGTAGACCCACCAAAGAAACAGGAATTTATATGGTAGAAGGAAACATGTTATGAAGAGGCTCTGAGGTACATAAAACAGGTGGAGGATGAGCTGGCCCAACACCATTGAAGAGGCTCTGAGGTACATAAAACAGATGGAGGATGAGCTGTGTGAGCACCAAAGCTGGCCCAACACCACGATAAAGATAAGAGGCAACAATCCCACCAGGAATGAAACCCTGAAAATTATTCAAACGCAAATCTGAGACACATAAAATCCTCTATGAATGCATTTTTCATAATTTCAAACATATTTGTTCTGGTTTTATTCAAAAGCACTACATTTTACTACACACCTTCCATTCACAATGGGCACACGAAGCATTATTCTACTCTGTAAAATCAGAAGGCAAACTAACAGGAAGGTTACCTTAACAACAGACTCTCTCATAAATAGCAAAACATGACTTGTGCATGTATATTCAAGAAATGCTGTCATCTACCAGGCTACATCATAGAGCTATACTGTATAACAGACAAGGAGAAATAACTTACCACACTCTCCAGCCTTATGGCTACTGAATCCACCACCACTGTTCACCCTTGCATTTGTATTTTCATCATAGCTGCGTTGTCGATTGCTACCTCCCGTATCATCCGAAAAACCACCACGTCCACCAGATCTACCTCTGCCACCACCCCGTCCTCTAACAAAATTTGCACCTCCTCTTTCATTAAAGCCACTGCTCTTCTCATTATTCTTTGCAAAGCCGGGAACATCGTCATCCCTCAAATTATCAATTACAGATGAAACTTTTCCTGGATCATTGTCATAAATGGTAGACTTCTGTATAGGTCTGAAACCACGACCTCGTCCAAAGGATCTACCAGGGTCAACAGAAGACTGAACCTACAATTAAATGTAAAAGGTTGAACACATATTTAAATCTGATCAGGAGTAAGAGAATCACTTTATAAACTTGAGCCCAAAAATAAAATCACAGCATAGCTTGTGGACAGTTTTATGTCCAACACTTCTGTGATTTAGGAGATAATACACAGAAGAAGAACTGATGAGATGACACCAGTGTGCAAGAAATATGGTCAAATACATTATCTTTTCTGTAATACAGAGAGGAAGTGGTTCTCTTGACTGCCACAAATATGTATAAAAATTAAGATTTAAAAGATGCCTTACCATAACTTGTATATCACCATCATCCCACATTTCACCTTCCATTATTAACTGTAAGAGAAGAAAATAATACAATTTCAAAGAGTAAATTTAGACATCCGAAGCTGATTTTGAAGGCACGAAAAATTCAGTAGTAATTAGTATTTAGTAATCAGTGTTCAAATTCCGTGTATAAAAATGTTCTGAATGCCTTCCTCAACATTTCAATGTACTAAAAAAAAACAATAGTTTCTAAGCACCCAGACACCATAACTTGATTTGCATCTAAGTTATATATAAGAGCTTAGTACAAACACATTTGTAAGCCACAATTAAAATGCATTTCCCTGTTACCAAACTACTAAATCTAACAGAGTTCTATACTACGGAACAATAAATAGGTTTCAATTCCTACTGAACAGCACATACAACCAACAAAATCATACCTTAGCACTCTCAACACTGAAAAGGAAATATGCACAATATCGTTCGCGCCATCAAGAATAAATCATTACGTTACCACTAGATTGCGTTATAATATACATCAAATTGTAGTATCCGTGCATACGACCACAGATAAAAAGAAACTCATGTTAATGCCCAGGCTGCACTTAAATTTTTATCGTAAAATGAACTGTACACAAAATATTGTAAAAGCTGCAAGGAACATATCTTGTCAGATAAAACATAAAACATGCATACAAACATATAACTCACAGTTGAAGATTTCTGTCTTTCGAGTTGTTGCGCACCTTCCGTGACATCTTCATACTCACCGCTGTTAAAACCTCAAATCTTAAACAGATAACTCAGTTAGGACTAGGCGACTGAACATTCATGACTAGCCCACAGAGACAGAGGTGTTTTCGGTGGTTCAAATTAAATTTACCTAGGCAGAAACTGAATTAAAGGAAAACACCACAAACCCTATTGTTATTTATCCACAATTGCATACAGGGATGGACTTCTAAATATTCATATTGAACCCTTGCTTAGTATGACAATTTTCCTTTGCTATATTACAAAATGCACACAGATAACCAACTGGAGACGGCGTTACTTTGAAACGTCGTTATCTACCAAAAGGTCAATAGAGCCTTAACCGTCACAAAAAAAATTGACACCTTCACCATGATAATAGATATTTTTTATCGAACATTTTGATTAAGTTGATATATCAGTGATAACAATGAGTTGTGATTTTCATCCATCCTATTTGTTAAAATAGGTAAACACATGCCAGTCTAGTCTAACACTGGGAAAGAATCAATGTTGCGATCCAGTCTCTGGAAACTCTTGAATTGGGATTGTAGTTTCCATTAATAACTATGGAGATGGATAGACTTTATTTTTGTAGTCAAAGAATTCATACTGTCAACTTAACCAACAATATACTGTACAAATACAATGGCTTTCTAGTTGTATACAACATGCACAATTAATTGTACATTTGTTTGAGAATTTTAAGAACTTTTACAATAACAGTTATGAATCAATACACTCCAGTAGCGAGTTTCACAAATGCAGATACAGTAATCATACACACTTCCTTCCTTCACTGTTTGATGTACTTTACAACCTGTCTCCACTTATAATAAACTACAGTTTACTTTGTCACTCTATGAAGTAAAACTGATAAGGAATTCTGATACGATTTTCTTCAGTTTAGCATCAGCATCTTCATTAATCTTGCCCTCCTTTGCTATAATTGCCAGCAAATCCTTGTGAGAGGTTCTGTAAAATTCAAAAGCAACATTAGAATAACAGTTGCAATAAAACATACACAATGAAACAAAGACAGTTTAGGTATTCAAAAGAAGTTGATGAATTCCCATTTCAGTGCAAACATATTAAATATAAACAAATTCTCCAAACATTAAACACTACCAGTAACAACGCTTCCAATATAGTGTATATGAACAGGTGGTCTGCCACATGAGTTATGCTAGTCCACAATTCTAGTTACCACATATAATGGTAATACATATTCTACAACTACAAAAAATCCCATTTTACAACTAGTTACTTTGTTTTTCACTTCCTTTTACCCAACACAATTTAAACCAAGAGCATTAGCATGCCACTGTATACCTCAGCAATGGAGAAACAAAAGCATGTTCAGAAAACTTAAAACTTGTTAGTCTGATATGGACAACTTACGATATTTAATATGCCTTTCAGAATGATAATTTTGAGTGTTCAATGTGGACACTAGAACATTTGATTTAAATACCATGTAAATGTGTTAATATATCACACATAAAATGTGAAACATACCTTTGAATTAGAAAAGGCTGAGCACCATTCATCTAATACAAACATCTTATAACACTGAATTCAATTCAGTCTTAAAACCCATTTACATATGACCCATTTTATTATTATCCTCCCATTCTGCAGTCGATCTTCAAAAATGATCACTTTCAAGCCAGTTTCCACACAAAATTCTACATTTCTAGTTGCCTGATGTCCAGCCCATCAGCCATCAGGTGGACTGCAGAGACCACAATTTCCTACTCAATATTCTCCATTTCCGAATCATCACAGAACTACAACTATATGCCTGCAATGTAAACTGACATGTTGCTAACCTTCTCCACCTAACTTTTTATCAAGTACAAAATTAATCTAGGTGGACATTTTGGGTGGGGCTTTTGATACCTGTATTATTGACCACTCCAGCATCTGTTTTTCCCATATAACTATAGAATAGAAATTATGTCAAAGTATGTGAATAGCAAAGATATACCACTTGGTACACAATGTGTAAATTTGGTGTCAGAATGTTTAGAAACGCAGATATGTAGGTGAACATAACAATATCAGATGCCATCAATGTGAAAGAAAAGTGGCAGTAGCCAAAACATATTTAAAGTCATGTACAGCATAGACCTGTTCGTTTATGTGTAAAAACACATAATTATACCGAACTTCATGAAACAGTATAACAGTGAATAAGTCACATTAAAAAGATTGATAAACCAGAGACAACAGACCATCATGAAGAATGTTTTACTTTATACGCAGGATAAATTTTTTTTAAACTGACGCACAGCTGGAAATTACAAAATTGTGCCAAAAAATTCAAATACCAAGAAGAGGAATTAGAATTCCTATTGTCCTTCCAATTTTTTCTTAAAAATCCCTACAATTTTTCAAACTTGCAGTCTATTCATAACATGCATGAAGAGGTTCCTTACTTGATGTGCTGCAAGAACTCCTTCTCAAAAGCTGTAATCTTTGCAGGGTCCAGCTTGTCTAGGTGACCTCGCACTCCACAATAAATAACAGCAACCTGCTCCTCAATAGCCATGGGAACTGTGAAGCAGAGGTAGTTATGCAACTTTCCACAAACACGAGAAAACATAAGTAGGATGTGAGGTTTACACAATGAGAATGAAGATGGCTGTTTTCTGAGCTGCAGTGCCACGTAATGTGATAGAAGTTTACCAACATTTCAGAGGTTCTTACTGCCTATATCATCATGGTGGTCACACTATGATCCAGAAGACAGCCACCTTCACACACACATGAGAGAGCAGCTGTAAAAGTTGACCCTCTGCTTACAATGGAGACATACTGGACTGCTAAAGGCAAAGTCTACCACATTAACCTCAGCACGAGGTAGGCTCCAGAGCTGGCACAGTACTGAACCCTTGTCAGTTAGCCTACAACCAGTCACTTTGCCAGCTCAAATGTAGCACAAATATAATTACATGGTTGAGAGAGGAACAGCTAGCGTTCCTTTCCAGACACTCACCATATTGACCCTGCTTCAATAATTCTGTAAGCCGAACGCCTCGGTTCAGAAGCTGCTGGGTAGCAGCATCCAAGTCAGAGCCGAATTGGGCAAAAGCAGCCACTTCACGGTACTGAGCCAATTCCAGTTTCATGGAACCAGCCACCTGCCACCACACAATGAAAAGCAAATATCGGAAATTCACTCCAAGTCGGTCGTTTCTGAGCCGGTGGTCCATGGACTGCTGCTGTTAGTGTTAGTGGCCTTTGACTTGACACAATAAATACCACTGGTTGTCAGGCATCACTGGGTGACCAATAAGACAGCAGTAAAATATCTGATGATCCTGTATCACAATGTACTGCACAAATAACAGTATATAAAAGGGAAATGTGTGCAATAATGATGTCCCTTAAATTTAATATGGAAACATAAAGGGGTTAATTTTTATTTATCAATTACACAACACAATCAGCTGTAAATGCAAAGTTCCTAAACAAAGGAATTTTTTCAGCCACAGGGAGTACACAATGAAACTGACCTGCTTCATAGCCCTGGTCTGTGCAGCAGACCCTACTCGGGATACAGACAAACCGACATTGATGGCTGGACGAATGCCCTTGTAGAATAACTCTGTCTCCAAGAAGATCTGTCCATCTGTGATGGAAATTACATTGGTTGGAATGTATGCTGATACATCACCAGCCTGTGTCTCAATGACTGGGAGGGCAGTGAGGGAACCACCTCCATTGGTCTCATTCATCTTGGCGGCTCGTTCCAAAAGTCGAGAATGGAGGTAGAACACATCTCCAGGATAAGCCTCTCGGCCAGGGGGTCGACGCAGCAGCAGAGACATCTAGAACACGTAGATTTTAGAATGCAGTTTATATCCCCCAGATTCTGTCCGGTGATAGCACACTGAAACAAGACTGACAAACTGGAATAGACAGCATGCATCAACTTCCATTCATGTTCATTATGAGAATGACATTTTCAAAATGCAGTCATTTTGATGATATAATGTGTGCCCAAACCCCTCAATTTTGGTACCTTACCATTTTCATTCAAGCTACCATGATTCCATAACCTTTCATGATAGGACCCACAACAGAATGACTGAAGATTACCTGTCGATATGCAACAGCCTGCTTTGACAAGTCATCATAAATAATGAGGGCATGCTTTCCATTATCTCGGAAGAATTCTCCCATCGCGCAACCAGAGTATGGTGCCAAATACTGCAGTGGGGCAGCATCAGATGCCGTAGCAGAGACAATGATGGTGTAGCCAATGGCACCTGAAATCATTACAATGTTTCACTCAGAGCCAAGATTAAAGTCCAACTGTATTAACTAATTTCAGACAAATTTATAATCTTTAATAAGGCAGCATCCCCACTTAACAGTACTTGCACCTTGTCGTGGTGGTGGGGCTTGAGTAGCTCAGTGACCCCAAGAGCTATGCTGGCAGTAACATAGCTACTGGTAGGGCCTCCCTAGCCAGATTGGTCGAGGGGGAGAGGTCAGACTAAGACAGGTAACCTGGTCCTCCAGGTTGGGGGTTGGTCGCAAGGCTAACAACCTTGCACCATAAAAAGGAAGACGTTTCGAAACCTCAATCAAAGCCTCGGACAGTCAAGCTGCAAGCTTTCTTACTTAACCACAGAACTACAAAAAGGTGAGTGGTCAGGTTTCACTGCATTACCTTTAATAAACTCTGTGGCACCAATAGATCAGAAGTCTAAGAAAACAGACACCAAAAATCCCTAGTTTATGAAGAGGTTGCATTTCAAATGTGCACTGCTCTTTTGTCTAGAACTTGATTTCTAACACGCTTATGTGATATATAATAGTTCAGTTCTCAAGTCAGAGCAAAATATCCTATTTAACCCATTTTTATGATAAGAACAATAACAGAAAATCATTGTTTTAATACCAATAATGAAATAAAGCAAAATAAACCATAAAATTCAACAAGTTTTATTTTATTTACTTGAACGCCAGTGCTTCTTATGCACAAACATTAGTTCAGACACTCCACTCAACTCAACTTCAGTCACAAGCATTAACCAGCAGCTAAGATTGGTTTGTACAGTACATACGAACAGGCATAAAAACACTAAACTGATTTGGACACTGTGAAATAACTAAATGTCAGAGGCTTTGATTGAGGTTTCGAAACGTCTTCCTTTTTATGATGCAAGGTTGTTAGCCTTGCGACCAACCCCCAACCTGGAGGACCAGGTTACCTGTCTTAGTCTGACCTCTCCCCCTCGACCAATCTGACTAGGAAGGCCCTACCAGTAGCTATGCTACCACCAGCATAGCCCAAAGTGACTACAGAACTGATAAAAACTGACCAAACGCTGCTGCCACACCTTACTTAGAACAAGTTCCAATGCTGTTCATACTAAATGGAATATTGCAAATGTTTCACATGGTAGGTTTACCATATTCTAGAAATACGTTACCTATTTCTTACACTGTTCTCAAGACGACATCGCCACTGACCTGAGTCTGTAAGCCTCTTTACGATCTGGGCCACAGTAGACCTCTTTTGACCAATGGCAACATAGATGCAGTACAGCTTCTTCTTTTCATCATCACCCTCATTGAAACGTTTCTGATTGATAATTGTATCGATGGCAAGAGCAGTTTTACTAAAAGACAAAAATGATGGAACTTAATAATTTTCCTGGAACCAGTGTCGTAGAACACAATGGCCTTTCGTAACAGGTTAGAAATTCATTGTTTGAAAACATAAAGCTAAAAGATGAACCAATGATACTGTCAGTACCTCTGACTGCATGGCATCAAATATTGGGATAATTAATAAATAATGAATTAGAAACGATATGGATGGAAATAGTTGTGGCCTAATTCAAGGTTACTATCCTGCAGGGACTAGAAAAGGCGCAAAAGTCTGATATTTCTAAACCAGCCTAGTAACTACCAATGATTTAAGGAACACCCTGTGCCATGAGTTAGTTGACTTCATAATGTACTTAAATGGCATGGCATGGGTAGAATGAGACTTGAACTCAGCGAGAAGCAATACTTTAGATGCATACCCAGTCTGCCTGTCACCAATGATCAGTTCTCGCTGTCCTCGGCCAATGGGCACCAATGAATCCACAGCCTTTATGCCTGTCTGCATGGGTTCCCTTACAGATATTCGAGGGATAATACCAGGTGCCTTCACACCAACTCGTGCCCTGGAAGAAATGTGTATAAGTTCATAAAGTAAGACTTAATTACACCTTTCTGAACAAATGTACATGCCTAGAAGTGCAACTGTAACACTGCTCCAAGTTCTCCAAAATGTACCTCATTTATTATTTCTCTAGGAGAATATTCAATTCATGAAAATTTAAATGGACAAATTTGAAAATTGTAGTGGGAAACAGACTGTAAAAACATTAGGCCATGTCACTGCACAAGTGATTAACTGCAGCTTCTCACTGCAGAGACCCAAGAAGTGCATGAAGTTTCTATGGTAGACAAAATTACAATGGGACATCTTTTTCTCTAAGATCTTTGTTATTTCCTGTCAATATTATTTAACTGCTACTCCATATTCACTCGTGTATCATCTGGGGATTGGCAATGGGACTGTTGATAACCACAGTCACATACAGTCTCCCCCCCATTCCCAACTGTAACAACAATGACATTGGTTAAGAGGAAACCTTACAACAATAAACATAAATTGGCCAATTTCCTTTGTTCATTTCATCTTTATATAAGATGTTGTTCGGCTATGTTAAATTTGCTGGAAACATATTCTTCAATAGACACATGATGGTAGATGTTAATTACAAAAGAATCTGTTTATTACTGTACCTTGTTACTGACTTAAAAGGACCCTTGCCATCAATTGGATTACCCAGAGCATCAACAACACGCCCCAGAAGATCTGCACCTACAGGAACATCAACAATGGCTCCCGTTCGTTTCACAATATCACCTTCCTTGATCAACTTGTCATTACCAAACACTACCACACCAACATTGTCAGCCTCCAAGTTCAAAGCCATACCCTAAAATATTCAAGAACTTTGTAATCTGACACTTTAAGATAAATGCAAACATCACAAATGAAAAATCCGTTATTTCATTCTTACTTCATTCATACAGTAAAAATTAGAAATTGTTCAAACACATTTGGGGCACCACAAGTTAAATCCATCAAGGTGCCTAAAATGTTTAATGTAAAGTAATAAATGATCACAAAACTTTTATGTGAAACTTACATAATATTTTCAATAAATAAGGTTTGAGAAATTGGAAAGTATGTACAAGACTGAAAACTATAATAATAATAATAATAATCTACACTGAAGATGGAGGTGTACAGAAACAAATTTCAAATAATGTAATACTTACTTTCAAGCCTGAGGAGAACTCCACCATCTCATCAGCCTGAATATTCTTCAAACCATACACACGAGCGATACCATCTCCAATACTCAGCACACGCCCAGTTTCTTCCAAGTCTGCCTGTGTTTGTAAGAAACCACTACTTTAATTACTATAGTTTACATCATATACTATATACCATTTCTGTAGTTTAAACTCATCTGGATACAACCTAAATATCACTACATGAATTTTTATTTACAATGCCATCAACAGCTCAGTATATATAGTGTTGTGGCCTTCATAAAAGTACTATCCCACCATAACACTGGAGGTACAAAGAAAAACCACTGAACACATATCAGCATATCTACTCCCTGGCTAATATGCAAACACAACAGCTAATAACTCAACCCTGACCTTACAAGTTGTCCTGTAATGTAAAGCAATAAATATACCTTGGGCGCAGAACCCAAAATTCTCTCTTCAAGGATGGAAGATATTTCAGCTGCCCTCTGGCTGCAAGAAACGTGCAGCTTTCGACTTGCTACTTGAGCAGCAGGCCATGTTAGATTAGCCACCTAGAACACAGAATTTACCTGAAATTGTTCAAAGATCTTTAAACATTACAGAAACTTGGTTCTCAGAAAAAAAATCTACTGCTGCTCTAGAAAAGGATACAAATTGTGGACTTAAAGGCACATCAATGCAAAACAACAGTAACCTAAAATTAGTAAAGTATGTACATTACATGTCCAATGTCACTTAAACAGTAACCAAAACTAAAATGCCATACCCCCTGAAATGAAATGAGGGGCACTGCATTACAACCGAAATATGTATTGATTACTAAACCTGAAACTTATTAGAAAACACAGTACAGCAATTCTTAGTATAATAAACTTCTTTAATAACTGTAAACTGCGGGCCTATATTTTATTTACCTACATTAGTAGGTTGTTCGGTAAAGCGTTTATGCATTAGCACTTGACCTATCCAAAACTGCTTTGCGGCTGCAAAAGTTCTTCATATTACTTTAATTACAAGCGCACATTAAAACTAATTTCAACCTTATTTCAAATAAAAAATACTCATAGTTTATACCTGTGGGGCCGCACTAGGAAAATGCCTTGCCACAGATGTAGCTAAACGTAGTGAGAGCAAAGCCATTTTGCCGACCCCGTCCTCGAATAAAAGATGGAGGAGAACAGACGATAGAATTTTACCCAAGAACCTATGCAAGCAAACTCTCAAACGCAAATGAAATCATAATTATTTGCGATAATTCGTATTCGAAAGAAATTTTTTTTCTTGTTCATGGACTTATATTTATTACGACTCAGAAAACTATTCATTCAATGCTTTTCTCACAAGTTTTATAATGAGTATAACAACGGACATCTTCTAATCTTTGGGGTTAAGATTAACACCTGCGTGACCAACTTATGGTGAAAAGAATTTTGGGGTTAAGGTGGGCGTGCAATTCGGATTACGAAATACGGAAGTGTCTGGGTGTTTATTACATTTTATTGAGTTTTTGACGGTTTATTTTATGGCAGACTTCAGTTTGGTCAATAATATCTTTAAATTGTTAAAGTTATACGAAACTATAATTTTACCTATTGCTTTGGTGGTAAAGCTTGGCCTGTGTTAAACATCAAGCTTGATTACTTCACAAATAAGCACTGCCAACACTTTGTAAAACCCTAACCGTGGCTATCTTTTTGCTATTCTTTGGAGCACAGAGCCCCAATGCTTGGTGGTTGTAGAGCAGTGCTACCACACAAAACCTTCATTACTCAGTAGTTTAAAAGTTATATTTCATTTGACAGATTTTCTAATAAATTACCAGGTTACATATTTTCTGCTGAATGTGATGAGTAAACTCTGTATGCTAAATTAATTTGCAGAAAATAAGCCCCTTCATTATTTTTTATGTTTCTTTATATATGATGAAAGTACAATTATAATGAATATTCAGCATCCCTGAGTGCATTCATCTTGATATCACCATGAGAATCTGACATATCACAATCAGGGATAACAACAATGATGCCATAGTTTCCTACTTCCAGCAAAACACAACATAGAAGCAGCACACATCCAATGAAACAGGAACAAATCTAGCGCTAGAAATTCATTAAGTCCTACAGAGCAGCAACTGGGTGAATGTGTAGTTATGTTTGCAAGTTTTGGGGTAATAGTCGTCTTTTTGTATGTATGCAAAATGGAGTTGGCTCAAGATCGTAGCAGGCTTTGGTGTTGTCTGTGTGAAACCTGTAGGATCCGTTACCAGGGAGTTAGTTAGTAGTCTATATGTATTCAGCTGAGCATTCAGATAGGGTAGATAAAGGAACATATATCAAATCTAAAAGTTCTTGACGATGGTGATGAGTCATTTGAATAAAAATCTTCTTCGATATTATCCATTGTCTAATCAATAAAATATTTTATTGATTAGAC